TATTAACCTTCACAACTCGTATAAATCAACCAGATGCCAAGGTACGTTGCACCCCCCACATTATTCACTGGGTGATCTCTTTATACGTCCGCATCTTCAGTCGGAATCACACGTTGAGGCAATGTTTGAGTATCTCTGGCTCCCTCGTAGTTCATCTGCGGCATCACGAATCGTTGACGCACAACTGATACCGAGTGCGCAATGTCATACACGAGTAGATACAAAGGAATGTGAGATATAGGTTTCAAGCAAAATCAATGCCGCACGATAAGGAATAAATGAGGTGATATTGTTCCTAAACTTCATAGCCTCTGAGAGAAAAGTATAGACGTCTCCGTATCGATCCTTCAGACTCTACTAAGCTTGCTCGTGACTCGTGAGACCTATGTAACCTAGGGCTCTGAAACCAACTGTCACGACCCAAAATTTCCCACCGACGGGACCGTGATGGCGCCTAACATTTCACTTGCTAGGCAAGCTAACGTTAAAGAATCATTAACCAATTCCTTATTTGCATTCATTAATTAACAATAATTAACTCAGATGAAATATAATAAGTGCGAAATATTAGAAAACTGTATTAATTACTATCACCCGGATCTGGAGTCGTAATTCATGAGCATTCTAGAATTTACTACAAGTAATAATCTGAAAGAAATACAACTGTCTGAATAAAAGAAACATTCGAACAGAAAATATAGGCGAGGACTTCAAGGTAGGCAAACGCCGAAAAATCTACTTTGTCTCCGGACAGCGGACCAATAGCAAAATCTCGATCAACCCGAACCGGTATCAAAAATTTGCACAGAAAGTGCAGAGTGCAGCATCAGTATAACCGACCCCATGTACTGGTAAGTGTGAGCCTAACCTCGACGAAGTTGTGACGAGGCTAGGACAATCATGCTAGTGGCAACAACAGTAAATAAAGAAATAACGCAGAAACAATGGGAAGGGAACATACAGTTGGGGAATACAACATAAATAATGATAATAATGAAAAGACAAAATTAAACCGAAAATACTTAAACGAATTGAGCAATTAAAACAGCAAGAAAAACTACACGGCATCACCCTTCGTGCTTTTACTCTCAACCTCACCAAATAAATAAATAGAACGGCACGACATTACTCTTCGTGCATTAAACCTCTCATAATATACACGGCATCACCCTTCATATTTTAAACCTCTCATAATATACACGACATCACCCTTCACACTTTACACTCTTCCTCACAATATAAATAATGCATGCACGGCATCACCCTTCGGGCTTTAAACCTCTCATAATATACACGACATCACCCTTCGTGCTTTACACTCTTCCTCACAATATAAATAATGCATGCACGGCATCACCCTTCGTGCTTTACACTCTTCCTCACCATATAAATAAATCACGCATGGCATCACCCTTCGTGCTTTACACTCTTCCTCACAATTCACAGAATCAATAACAATGGATAGAGAGAAGTTTTACAAAGAAATCAATATTTCATCAATGATTACTTTCACAATTTAACATCTCAACCTCGAATCAATATTCACAATTTTATCAACCTTGGTGGAACCGGATACGAGTCTCCCAACATTTCAACAATAACAATAAGCATGAATCACCAGATTTAAGACTACAAATTTGCAAAAATGGAATTTCACTCCCATGCTATGACTCGACCACAACGCATAGATGTTCGTCACCTCAACTATACATCGTATTCAGCAACAAAACACGTAGCAATTACTCACACAATACCTATTCCCTCAAGCCAAAGTTAGACACAATACTTACTTCACTCTGAAGGCCACTTAATTCTCAATCACAGCTTTCTCTTTGGAATTCACCTCCAAACCACTCTTATCTATTCAAAAATGACTCAATAATATCAAATATTGCTTAAGAAATCAATTATATTGCATAAATTAAATTCCCCAAATTTTTCTCCAAAAAGTTAAAAAATCGACCCCGGGCCTGCTTGGTCAAAAACCCGAGGTTCAGACCAAAATCCTTTTACCATTCACCCTTGATCCCGAATATGTAATTAGTTTTGGAATCCGACTTCAAATTGAGGTCTAAATCCTCAGATTTCGAAATTCCTAAGTTCTACCCAAAAATTCTAATTTCACCATAAAAATTCTAGATTCTAGGTTGAAATCTTATTATAAGATGTAAAAGATTGAAAGAAAAGAGTTAGGAATCACTTACCTATGATTTGGGGAAGATTTGGTCTTTGAAAAATCGCCTCTTAAGGTTTAGGGTTTTGAAAATATGAAGAATGAATGAAAAATTCCGTCTATGTCCAAAGTTATCAGCTGCGGATGTCGCATTTGTGACCTGAGCTTCGCAATTGCGAAGCTCGCAAATGCGAAGGAGTCATCGCAAATGCGAGAACCTTCATATTTTCGATGCCTTCGCAAATGCGAAGAGTATGTCGTATTTGCGACAATTGGCCCATCGCAATTACGGGTAGAATTTCGCATATACGAACATGCCCTTCCCCAGACCCCCTTTCGCAATTGCGAAGATAAATTCGCAATTGCGAGAACTGCTGGCCTACGCTTTCTTCGCAATTGCGATAAAAACCTCGCAATTGCCATACCTGCTTGGTTCGCATTTGCGAAACCTGATCTCGCAATTGCAAGATCAGAGGCCTGCTACAGACACCAGTTACACCAGCAAATTTCTAAGTTCCAAAATCACTCTGTAGCCTACCCGAAACTCACCCGAGCCCTCGGGGCTCCAAACCAAACATGCACACAAGTCTAAAAATATCATACAAGTACGAACTTGCTCGTGCGATCAAATCGTCAAAATAATACATAGAACTACGAATTTAGCACCAAATCAAATGAAATTCTCAAGAACACTTTAAAATTCATATCTTCTCAACTGGACGTCCGAATCACGTCAAATCAACTCCGTTTCTCACCAAATTTCACAGACAAGTCTTAAATATCATAATGAACCTGTACCAAGCTCCGAAACCAGAATACGGACCTGATACTAACAATGCCAAATATCAATCAATTCTTAAAAATAAATAATTTTCAAACTTTTAATTTTCATCAAAAATTCATAACTCAAGTTAGGGACCTCCGAATTCGATTTCGGGCATACGCCCAGGTCCCATAATTTGATACGGACCTACCGGAACCGTCAAAGTACGGATCCGGCCAGTTTACCAAAAATATTGACCGAAGTTCATAAAAATTAACTTTTAAGGTAAAAATTCTTATTTTCATTAGTTTTCAACGTAAAAGCTTTCCGAAAACCTGCCCGGATTGTGCACGCAAATCGAGTAGGGTAAAAATGAGATTTTTAAGGTTTAAGAGCGCAGATTCGAGTTCTAAAACATAAGATGATATTTTTGTCATGACACACGTGTCACTTTATCATTCGAGTATTTAATGTGAACCGATTTTACCCTATACACAAATTTATTTCAAAATACTAAAACATTTTATGTCCAAATTAAATGCATAGCTAAAATTAAGATGTTTGAATCTAGAAAAGCTAAAGGTGTCAGTATGAATTTGGAGAGGGGGAGTAGTATTATTTATTTAGTAGTCCATATTGTAGTGAACAAGCTATACGTACTATCCCAGTATTTTTTTAATATACGAGTGTAAGTTCTTGAAAGTTACTTTGGCATTAGATTTCTCCCTATCACATCCTAATTCCTATATATAGTGAAGTTTACATCTAGTTGGCAATTCTTTATTCATTTTACTCACTAGCTAACAATATGCATACGTTGGAGGCACGTGTTAGTCATGTAGTGTAGTTCAATATATTTTGTAATGGACGTAAATATCAGTATTACAATATCAATGCTTGAAATACCCCATTAGTAATATATGCTAAAAACTACGACTATGGTCTAAGGGAGTTGGGGTCTAGTCTTTCTGATTTCTGTGTTTCTGCAAATCTGCATGCATCATATAACATCCATAAATATTTACTTACTCTGCTTACAAAGTCTAGGGAATAATGAGAGTCGGTAAAACGAAGAAGGGTTCAATTTCCAATAACGTCTCTCTCTTTCTCTCCACCTCACTCCATTAATATATGAGTGATGAGTACTAATGACAGAATTTTGGATTTCCCATATATGTGATGGTGCACTGTATGCCCCACTAACCTGCTCTTTTGACCCTCATCAAGCCAAAGGGTCCTCCTTTGTTATAATCCAAAAATTTCTTATGCCAAACATATATAGAAGTTCGATCAAACGCACCATAAAATAAATTTTATATTTTATTTGAAAATTATTATCCCTTATTCTTGTAACCAAACAACCTCTAAGCGTTTATACTTGTTCAGCCAAAGAAAATAGTAGAGTTAGTAACCTTAGTTGTCTTGGTGATATCATTTATGTTCGTACCGCTTCTCATGAAACAGATTCAACATCCAATAAGTCTTTGACTAGGGAAGGGGAGAATTCCCCCTATTGCTGGCAGGCTATCCCAACCCGTGGGCGTTGTGGGAACGAGCTTCCAAGTCAGATTTGTGTCACGCCCCGAAATTAGGGTGGGACTTGATGGTGCTCTACCTTATACGTCGAGCAAGTCATGTTATTTAACCATACATGCTAATAAGGTTATTTAAACATACCAAGTACGAATAAACTCTTATATTAAAACTGTCTGAAAAATAACTAATGAACATTTAGCAAACTAATGTCTGAAAATCTAACTCATCAATGACAGTTATGAGCCTCTAAAGACTAAGACTAAAGCAATGTCTTCGAAGCATTCCTCTCAATTAATAAAGTATCTAAATAACTAAAAGTTTGAAGATAATCGAGTACTGCTAGCGGGAATCAACAAAGTCTATCTACCGGATCCATGGAAAGTCTGAAATCTAGCCATGAGCTTCATCACCTACAGGCTCAACACCTTCCATACGATGTAGTACGCCCCAACAGGCTAAGTATCTCCAAAAGTACCTAACAAGTATTTTTTATCACACCCTAAATGGAAGATAAGACTTTGAACTAAACAGTTACAATAAGATTGCAATAAGCATAACTTGCAATTAAATAAATTAACACTGTAATTTAAAAATTGAACTGAAACATGAAATTTGAGTCAAGTTCTGATAATTTGATATAGTTGAATTTTTTTATTCTGAAAATTTTATCTAACATGCAATAGTACGTGCTAGCGAGTGTGAGAAGGACTGGCCAAATCTTTGCCCCTGGCGACTTTTTAACTCAAAAAAGTTGATCACTTCTTCCAAATATATAAATCTGAACAAACAATGGAACTTGCATGTGTGAGGATGGCTGGCCCATTCCCTGACCCTTGGCGGCTTTTACGCTTGGGGGGATCGGCCACTTCTCCCAAACAAATAAATCTGAAGACATGGAGTACCTACAAGTATAGGGTACCTAATCGCGGCCACTATAGGTCTGACACTTAGGGAGGTTGGCTATTTCTCCCAAAACGTATGTGATCGTATAACCTGAGCTGAATCAGAATTAAATACAGCAAGCAATGTCATAACATCAATCAAATCAAACAAGAAATTCAATTACTTTTGATATTCCGAGCTAACTGAGTCATCAAACAAGACAATTCAATTTCTATAAAATAATCTGTATCATGAAGTAATAATAGAGTCTAACATTTAAGCAATCAAGAGTTGTTCAAACAACTGTCTAATATTTATAGTTAAGGACGTTTAAGCGCTTCCTTAATTATCAAATAATTTTCTTAGTACGCATTTTCTTTTCTGACCTTGGACTTAGGGAATCATAAACGCAGTTTACCTTATCAACTAGCAAGAATCTCCTCTCAACGTACATGTGTATTCAATCTTCTCGAAAGTCTACGATAAGTAGTTAAAACCGTTAACGCAATTATAATTTCAATCTATTCTCCTAAATTTAGGTATTTCTCCGCCATAAGTGGTTTAGATCGATTCTAACCATGAACTTTGTTATTCTTATGAACTAAAGATCGTTATACACTATAAATTTTCTAACTTTAATAGCAGAGAGCAAAAGAATTACCTTGAATGATATCTCCACAAATCCTAAATTTCGGATCTTGAAGAACTCTTTGATTCTTGGGTGGAAACCTAGGTTTTAGAATTTAAAAGGTATTAAACAACGTTAATCTCTTATTTTTAACTTGAATTTATGGTAGGGATCTTACCTTAGGTGGATTGAGGAAGCCCTAGGTAGTTCTTGCTATCAAAAATCATCTTTAAAATGCTGTAGAAATAACTAGGTTTTTTTCTCGCCTAGAAGTGCCCTTTTATTTTATGCGTTTCAAAGTCATACATGTCGAAATTTAGCCTACCGCATCGCCCGGGGGCGCCGTGACAAGGGAGATGTTTAGAGACTCGATTGTTATCATATTTGTCCCAAAGTTAGCTAGTCGTTTTCCCCAGGGCGTCCCATCTGGGCAATTCTCTCTGGAATCAGATTTCTGCTCTACTACCTTTCAGTAAAAAGGTCATAATTTCGTGTAGGAATGTCGAAATAACGAACAATTTGAAGTTTTGAAAACTAGACTCATAGAATTTTTATTTAATATATAGGTCATACCTCAATCTATTACACATTCAAAGATATGTTTGTTTGAAATTAGAACATATGCGACTAAGATCCTTTCTTCTCTTAAATATTTCCAATTTATCCCAAACTATTTCTCCTCCCTTATGGACATCCATATAACTTCCGCATCATAATATTTAGATATTACAAACCTTCAAATCTTTCTAAACACCCGTATGTCCAAGTAAGAGCTTGAATGAGTTCGATTCCGGCCAGAGCATTACACTCTGGCCGGAATCGGCATAGAATAAAGGGATGGCCCTAATAACTTGTTTTGGTTGATTTTATTAGTACAAGTTCGTTATGCCACTACTAGAAATTCGGCAAAAATCGACCAAGGTCGGTTTCTTGATAACAAATTTACAATACAAAAGGAGGAAATTGTAAATGATCATATCTTGAAAATCACAGGCCTTTTGATTGAGAAGTCACAGATTAATATAGGAACATCTCAAATCACTGTGTCAATTAAGCACACCCAAAATGGTAAACCGAACATTTTAGCATTGATAAAAGGAGCATCAGCCCCATTATGCAAAAGTCCTTGGTTCCTTCATTAAAATGGACAAAAATCTAATTGTACTCCTATAAATTATGCCTTTACTAGTTTTCTGCTGATTTTCTTTTTTAATTCTGTCGTTATGGCTTTAAATTTTATTTTCCTTATCCGACCATAGAAGTTGGCCTTAACCAGATAGTTGGTATTGGTCAATAGGAAGTACAAGAACCTTAGCCTAACTTGTCAATTTTAGTTTTCTTCTTTCAGATAATTTTTTCAGACCCACCCGATAAGAATTGCATAACAAACATTTTAAGTTATTCTTAGCACTTTTTTTTTAATTCGGAGTTGGGTGTCCTCTTTAGGCCTCGACTAATTCGTATTTGTGGCGTGCAAGGCATATAAACAGGGGCGTATGCACTCTTAGCGAAGCGGTGTCTCGTCGAATTTTTTTACTAAATATATGTATTAATGTTGTGAGGAAACAGATAAGTAGGAAAAAATACAACTTGACATAAATTGTCTCTTGGTGCATTATATGCTTGATTTTGCTCTAAAAGGTCAAAGTTTCGAACCTCAACTAGCATATTGTTTTGCAAATATTTGAAAGTGTTTGTATAGTTAAAAATTGTGATGAAGTAGAATTGAACTCAGGACCTTTTCTAATTTGAAACTCAACAAAATTGATAAACTAAGAATATTTCTTGTCTAGAAGTATGATAATTGAAGTTATTACTCTTGTACTTCTATAAATTTTGACACCGCTTACAAAATTCATGCGTATGCCCCTGCTTATAAATGTTTTCGATTTGTTCGAACTCAAGAGTTCTAGTTAAGGATAAAGATATTTTATACATCCTACTACATTTTTTGTGGTGATTTTTTATCACTAATTGTGATCAAGAATACTGTAATAGTCCCCAACTTGAACCACTGGGATTAGGTGAATGATACTGACGTTTTGACTTTTAAAAAGTTGCTTTATATATGTTGAAGATTCTAATGACCGTTTAGTCATAGATTTTGTTAGATTTTTCTCAATTTTGTTTTGGCAAATACATGTTTGTTCATAAATTTTATCCATATTTTTCTGATTTTGGCCCAAAATTTTATTATTACATTTTTTAAAAATTTTAAAAATTGTCCCAAAGTTTTGTATTTTTTAAAAGAGCCCACCACTTATTATTTTGTAACAATGTTACTTCGCCTTCTCGATAATCTGATAGTGTATTATGTAATTCATTATAAAAATAATAAGTTTATACTAATTTATTTATGTTCAGGACTATGGTTTGTGATAATGATAATGAATGTTATTGATGAAGGTATTGTTGGGTATTTGTGATAGTTTTTAGAACTTGTGGGTATAAGTCATATTTCATATTTTTTTTTTTAAAAAGTGACACGTGTTTTGAAAAACTTATGTCCAAACACATTTTCAATTTCAAACCAAACTTCACCCAAAATATATTTTTCAAAATAAATTTGGGAATCTATGACCTAACGCTAGCTAAAAGGTTTGACAAAATATTATTAAAATAAGACCCATATCTTTATCCCTCCTTAGGAGATCAATTTGGAGTTGGAGGATGTTAATATTAAGGGTGTGTTTGGTATGAAGGAAAATACTTTTTGGAAAATATTTTTCAATTTTCTCACGTTTGGTTGGCTTAAATGTTTTGGAAAATATTTTTCTCATGAACTCATTTTCCTCCAATTGGAGAAAAATATTTTCCCTATCAAAAGAAGGGAAANTTTTTTATTTCAACAAAATGAGTATATTATTTTCATGATGTAGTAAAAGTATTTTCTTTCATTTTAACAAAATGCGTACTTTCTTTTCTAGATGTAGAAAAAATATTTTCTTTCATTTCAAACAACTAAGTATTTTCTTTCCCTGAAATAAAAGAAATATTTCTTTTCAACAAATGAGTACTTTCTTTCATGATGTAGAAAAAGTATTTTCTCATTTCAACAAACGAGTACTTTCATTTCATGATTTAGAAAAAATAATTTCTTTCATTTTAACAAACTAAGTATTTTCTTTTTCTGAAATAGAAAATGTATTTTTTTCCCAACAAAATGAGTACTTTCTTTTCGAGATATAGAAAAAGTATTTTCTTTCATTTTAACAAACTATCTTTTCCTGATGTAGAAAAAATATTTTCCTTCATTTTAACAAAACGAGTAATTTCTTTTCATGATATAGAAAAAGTATTTTCTTTCATTTCAACAAATTGAGTATTTTCTTTTCATTTTCATGATATAGAAAAAGTATTTTCTTTCATTCAACAAAATGAGTAATTTCTTTTCATATTGTAGAAATGATACTTTCTTTTTTAACAAACTAAAGTATTTTATTTTTAATTATCGAGCTCAAATTTCAACGTTGTTGTTCTGTGAAAAAGTAAAGTAGCACATTAGTTCCTTTGACTTTGTGTGAATCTTGCAAAGAATAATTAAATTTTTAAAGAAAATAGAGTCGGGGGAGGGGGGTGGAGGAGAACAGGAAACATGGGGATTTCGGAGAAGGTTGGTTGAGGAGAGTAGCATAAAAACTTATTATTCTAAAAATATTTTATACTCTCTAACCAAACACTAGAAAATATTTTCCGAAAAAAGTTACTCACCAACCAAACAAGGAAAAATAAATGATAAAATCACTCATTTTTCAGAAAAATATTTTCTAGAAAAATATTTTCATGAAAAATATTTTCCTTCGTACCAAACACACCCTAAATCAAACACAGAGTCATCACAGTAGAAATAGTAAATATTCCAGCAATCATTGTTCAAGTGGATGTAATGAAAATAGTCTTTGATAGACTCGATCGATTGAGTCACATGTGTTTATAAGAGGTGTTAACCGGGCGGGCTCGTCCGGGCTGGACACGAAAAAATAGCCCATTCTGTTATTATTCCGGGCTAGTTAGTGAACTCGATAAACGGGCTGGGAAATTTCGGTTTATTAGGGTCCGTCCGGGTTCGGGCTTAACGGATCCGGGCCGGGCCGGGTTACTTATATTGTATTATTTATTTTTTAGTATATTTTGTCTTTCTTATACAATGTTATTGATATTTAAGTGTTTGCAAATTTTTAAGGCATAGAATTAAACTTTGAAATTTGAATTTTAAAATAAGTGGTTACAAATAAATTATTTAATAAGACCAATAGGTAATATGTAAGGATCAAACTCTGAAGGCTTTCGTTTAATATTTTCATTGAATAATAAATATGTGATGACCCAAAAGGTCATCTTATATTTTAGAACTTCAATCTACGCTCTTAAGCCTTAAAAATCTTATTTTACCCTCTTCGATTTACGTGCGCAGTCCGGGCAGGTTTTCCGGAAAGCTTTTATGTTGAAAACTAATGAAAATAAGAATTTTTGCCTTAAAAGTTGATTTTAGTTGATTTCGGTCAACATATTTGGTAAACGAACCGGATCCGTATTTTTATGGTCTCGGTGGCTCCGTGTCGAATTATGGGACCTGGGCGTATGCTCGAAATCGAATTTGGAGGTCCCTAGCTCAAGTTATAAATTTTTGATGAAAATTAAAAGTCTGAAAATTATTTATTTTTAAGAATTGATTGATATTTGACATTGTTAGTATCAGGTCCGTATTTTGGTTCTGGATTCCGGTACAGGTTCATTATGATATTTAAGACTTGTCTGTGAAATTCGGTGAGAAACGGAGTTGATTTGACGTGATTCGGACGTCCAGTTGAGAAAATAGAAATTTTAAAGTATTCTTAAAAATTTTATTTGATTTGGTACTAAATTCGTAGTTCTAGGTGTTATTTTGGCGATTTGATCGCATGAGCAAGTTTGTATGATGTTTTTAGACTTGCGTGCATGTTTGGTTTGGAGCCCCGAGGGCTCGGGTGAGTTTCGGATAGGCTACGGAGTGAGATTTGGCTTGAAAAACACTGCTGGTGCATCTGATATTGCAGGCCTCTGATCTCTCATTCGCGAGATCAGGCATCGCAATTGCGACCTCTAAGAGGTTCTCATTTGCGAGTTTCTCATCGCAAATGCGAAGAGAAACTGGGCCAATAATTTTCGCATTTGTGAGTCTTCTTTCGCATTTGCGAAGGGAGTCGGGGAAGGGCAGTGATCGCAAATGCGATCATTTAGTCGCATTTGCGAAGATTCAAGGTTCGCATTTGCGAACTTAT